CCTGACCCGCCCCCCAGTGCCCGCCCCGCCCCATCAGCCCTGCTCCCAGGTCTTGGTCAGGGGCCCCCACAACCTGCACACCCGCACTCCCGCCCCAGTGGCCTCCGCTTCCTCATGCTAAGGACCTGGCCCTCCCTCTCCACTCCCACCCGCTTTCGCCCAACGGGGGATGATTCCACCTCTAAGCCCCTCTTCATGAGGGCAAAACTGGGGGCGAGGATGCCGCCTCCCTTGTCGCAAAGGCGTTAGTGCCCCCCAAAGTGCCAGGTACTAGAGGAGCTCCCTCCCCCGGGGGCTCTGTCCGCTCACTCGCCAGAAACCACGGCAGGCGCCTGGGATGGGGAAGTAGAACGGCGGTGGGATAAGGGGACGCCCCTCCCGTCCCCGCCCTGCTGGGGAGAGCCTGGCCATCAGTTGGGCAGGAGGAAGCAGATCTCCGGGTCAGGGGAGTGAGCACTGGACTAGGAGTCCATATACCAGCCGGGTGACGTCCTGGAACTTCACTGTCTTCAACTACAAGGTGGGAATAACTACACTGCCCTGTTTTTAATCCTTTTACAGTTTTTAGCGGTTTTCGTGTGGCCGAAAGCAGCAGTCCTACAGCACTGCCTGCTCCCACTCAGCCCTGCCCCCTCCCAACCGGAGGGCCAGTGGTTCTAGGAAGGAACTTCTGGGTCCGTGGCATCGCTTTATGAGCAAAGAAGCTGCGCTCCAGGAAAAGACACTTGCTTTGGCTTAAATGTTTACTACACAATAATGTTCAGAGCACTATGCTGGGCACTGAAGGAGGGGAAACAAAAGATAATTACCTGGCCCAGCCACGGTGGCTCAGTGGTTGAGCATCGACCTATGAACCAGGAAGTCACGGTTCTATTCCCAGTCAGGGCACATGCCCAGGTTGTGGGCTCGATCCCCAGTGTGGGGCGCGCAGGAGACAGCCGATCAATGATTCTCTCTCATCATTGATGTTTCTCTCTCTCTCCCTCTTCCTTCCTCTGAAATCAATAATAATAATTTTTAAAAAGGTAATTCCCTTCTCCAAAGGGAGTCAACCATCTCATGGGAGAGACGAGTACACAGGAGGGGAGTGCAGACCAACCCCTGGACCCTGGATGCTTCCCTGAAACACTGCACACTGTGGCTGTGACAGAACCTGCTCAATGATGGCCCTGCTGCCTGCTGGCTCTGTGAACCCCCCTGCTCCCCAAAGGGGAAGCATATATGAGAACCTGCTTGTCATGCTGAGCCCCCAGGAGCATGACACACAGGGCAGGGACACCCCACTTCTAACCCTGGCTTTCCCCCCAATCTCCTTGCTTCTCATCGCCCACCCTGGCATTTACACCTCTCTGCATTCTTGTCACTGCTTAGCCATGGTGTACAGATACAGCTCTTATCACCTCCCGTAATAGTCATCCCCTTGCGGCCCCCTCCCTCTCCTCTCATCAGCCACACGCCCACCCTATCTTCTCTGGTTCTCAGTAATTGGTGGGCACACACAGGAGCTGGCAGAGTGCTTGAGGGAATCTTATTTGGTGGGTTTGTTTCTCACTGTATAACTGGAAACAGCTCAGGGGTTGAGCCACTCGCCCAGACATCACACTGGAATCAGACTTCGGGTCTGTCTGGACCTCTCCCCCAGGGCAGATGCAGCCTTGCCTAAACCACACCCACTCTGTTTTACCATCCCAAGTTTAAACATCACGTTCCTTTAGACTTCCCAAGGGGAGAGGGAGCAGGCACTGAATTTCCAGTGTCACCTCTCTTCTGCAGGGGACCCTGGGATTCTGCTCTGACAGGTTCATGTACACTTAAGCCAAGTCTCCTCTGACACAGCCGGTTCACGGCTCCAACCACAGCCCTGAGACTGACCGCCGATGCCCTTGGGATCCTTTTGTCTGTCTGCCTAGAACAGGCAAAAAGGGCTCTGAGGACCCTGGAGAAAGCAGGGTGGCAGCTGCACAGCCAGCTACAAACACAGGAATGAGAAGCACCAGGCACAGCAGAGGGCGGCTCGGCCAAGACAGCACTTCTAAGTGGGATCTCCTGGGAGTACGAGGCTCTGGGCTTATTTTTTATTTATTTTCATTTTTTAAAAAACTTTAAAAAAATATATTTTTATTGATTTCAGAGAGGAAGGGACAGGAAGAGAGAGATAGACACCAATGAGAGGGAATCGTTGATCGGCTGCCTCCTGCATGTCCCCTACTGGGGATCGAGTCCACAACCCAGGCGTGTGCCCTTGATCGGACTCGAACCCAGGACCCTTCAGTCCGCAGGCTGAGGCTCTATCCACTGAGCCAAACCGGCCAGGGCGAGGCTCTGGGTTTAGAACAAGGACGTCAGCTGCCCACAGCCTGTTCCCCAAGTCTACGATGATGGCCAGGGAAGTCCAAAGGCCTCCATCCATCCCACGGGGAAGACTGACAGTGAGTCACATGGAGGTGCAGGGGGAAGCTCTGAGCACTCTGGGCCCTTCCCAGGTTTCTACAACATTCAAGGACATCCATGGACAATGCAAAGAAGATCCACAGGATAATCCAAGCTCCAAAAAAGGAGGAAAAGATACATGGCAAATCCCGTTATAACCGATAAAACATTTCAATTGCACCATGGCTATTTTTTGTTTTGTTTTGTTTAATCCTCACCTGAGGGTAGGTTCTTACTGATTTTTTTTTTGGGGGGGGGGGCATCGATTGGTTGCCTCTTGTAAGTGCCCCGACCAGGGACTGAACCCACAACCTAGTATGTGCCCTGACTGGGAATTAAGCCCCAAACATTTCAGTGTACAGCATGAGGCTCTACCAAATGAGCCGCCCGGCCAGGGTTGCACCCTGGGTTTTAATCAAAGACTGCTTGAAATAAAGGACATTTTTTGCTGTATTTTCATTACATTGGAATCCATTACAAGTAGCACCTTTCATAACTGAGTCTTTGTTGCTTTCTAAAAGCACTTACACGCATGCTCCTTGGTCACCAACATGATTTTGATGTAGTAAAGACTACTACTGGGGTGGGGGGGGGCAATGGGGGGGTTAAGGACACATATGTAATATCTTAATAAAGGAAAGACTACTATTATGCCCATTTTACAGATGAGTTAACTCATGCACAAGGCATTAATTGCAGAGAAACTAAACATATGGAGAAAACCAAAGTGTGGTGGTTTTCAAACACATGAAAGGTACAGAGGACAACAGAGAAAGTGAAAGCAGAAATTTTAAATTAGACATTTCTAATAAAAGAAATGATGACAAGCACAGAGCTGCTCAGAGTAGGGAAGTGTAAAGTCACTCTCCTGGCAAATTTCTGAGCACAGATCCCCATCTGTGTGGGCTGGGGAGCTGGAGGGAGACATCCTGAGATATCTCAGGTCCTTCTCTTTAGTTTCAGAATAAGAAAGCCGCTGTAGAGTCAGGAAAACAGCAGAATCTTTAAGGGAGGCTAAAGGGAGAATCAGGAATAGTTCATACAGTTTCCCAGAGTCAGAGAGATTAGCTAGAAAATCAGAACATTAGTCATTAATAAGGGAATATTTCAGAAACTGAAACTGTCAAAATACTTTTTAAAAAATTTTTATTTTATTTTTTTACATGTTTTTATTGATTTCAGAGAGGAAGGGAAAGGGAGAAAAAGATAGAAACATCAATAATGGTAAGAGAGAATCGATCATCGGCTGCCTCCTGCACCCCCCTACTAGGGATCAAGCCCGCAACCCGGGCATGTGCCCCTGACTGGGAATCGAACCCGGAATCCTTCAGTCTGCAGGCTGATGCTCTATCCACTGAGCCAAACCAGCCAGGACCAAAATACTTTTTTTTTTAAAAAGGCAATATTCACAAAAGGAGAAAATATGGTCGGTGTGGCTTAGATGACTGAGTGTCGCCCCATGCTCCAAGAGATCGCCCGTTCAATTCCCAGTCAGGGCACGTGCCAGGCTCAATCCTCAGTAGGGAGCCTGTTTCTCTCTCTCCCTCCCTCCCTCTGCCTCCCTCCCTCCCTCTTAAATGAGAAAGTGATGACAATCCTCATAGTGGCTAAGAAAGCTAAGCAGCTGCTCTCAGGGAAATGGCACAGATGGCTAGGGAAGGTATGGATATCTAAGGAAGTGAGATGCCCAGGCCCAGCCTTTGTAATTATTTGCGTTTGGATATAATCGTCACGAGTTTCAGGAGGCATTTCAGTAGCTGAAGTAAACACTCTTTAAACCTCAAAGACGTTTAAAGGCTTGGAAATCTGCCTGAGAATCTCACTATATCTAGATTGACTATTCTGAGCAAATCCAGAAAAGAACAACGCAGAACCTCTACAGAACAACTCCCAGGGGCTTTGCAATAGTGGGGTTTATTCCAAGTAAGAGTCTCAATAGACGCTATAACAGTAGAAAATGGGTTACAACACCCAGCACTGTGACACGATAAAGAGACTGACTTCAAGCTCTGGCTCCATCTTCCACGAACCAGAAGATGCTGGGCAAAGCTCAACTTCCGTTTTCTCTTTTGTAAAATGGAGTTTATTTTGAGGACTAAATGAAAGAAAATAAAAATCTATTATAAACTCAAAAGC